TGAGTGACTAACTGACTGACTGACTGACTGAGTGACTGACTGAGTGACTGACTGACTAACTGACTGACTGCTCACCCTGGCAAGGTGATTAGCGGCCTGCCCGTTAGCTCGCTGCGAGAGACGTTCAGCTGAGGGTAGTGCAGGCGGTGAGTGACTGAGTGACTGAGTGACTGACTGAGTGACTGACTGACTGACTGAGTGAGTGACTGAGTGACTGACTGAGTGACTAACTGACTGAGTGACTGACTGACTGACTGAGTGAGTGACTAACTGACTGACTGAGTGACTGACTAACTGACTAACTGACTGACTGACTGACTGACTACTCACCCTGGCAAGGTGATTAGCGGCCTGCCCGTCAGCTCGCTGCGAGAGACGTTCAGCTGAGGGTAGTGCAGGCGGTGAGTGACTGAGTGACTGACTGACTGACTGACTGAGTGACTGACTGACTAACTGACTGACTGACTGAGTGACTGACTGACTGACTGCTCACCCTGGCAAGGTGATTAGCGGCCTGCCCGTTAGCTCGCTGCGAGAGACGTTCAGCTGAGGGTAGTGCAGGCGGTGAGTGACTGACTGACTGACTAACTGACTGAGTGACTGAGTGACTGACTGACTGACTGAGTGACTGACTGAGTGACTGACTGACTGACTGACTGACTGAATGACTGACTGACTGACTGACTGCTCACCCTGGCAAGGTGATTAGCGGCCTGCCCGTTAGCTCGCTGCGAGAGACGTTCAGCTGAGGGTAGTGCAGGCGGTGAGTGACTGAGTGACTGAGTGACTGACTGACTGACTGACTAACTAACTGACTGACTGACTAACTGACTGACTGAGTGACTGACTGACTAACTAACTGACTGACTAACTGAGTGACTGACTAACTGACTGAGTGACTGACTAACTGACTGACTGACTGACTGACTGCTCACCCTGGCAAGGTGATTAGCGGCCTGCCCGTCAGCTCGCTGCGAGAGACGTTCAGCTGAGGGTAGTGCAGGCGGTGAGTGACTGACTGAGTGACTGACTGAGTGACTGACTGAGTGAGTGACTAACTGACTAACTGACTGACTAACTGAGTGACTAACTGACTGACTACTCACCCCGGCAAGGTGATTAGCGGCCTGCCCGTCAGCTCGCTGCGAGAGACGTTCAGCTGAGGGTAGTGCAGGCGGTGAGTGACTGACTGACTGACTGACTAACTGACTAACTAACTGACTGAGTGACTGACTGAGTGACTGACTAACTGACTGAGTGACTGACTGCTCACCCTGGCAAGGTGATTAGCGGCCTGCCCGTCAGCTCGCTGCGAGAGACGTTCAGCTGAGGGTAGTGCAGGCGGTGAGTGACTGAGTGACTGACTGAGTGACTGACTGACTGACTGAGTGACTGACTAACTGACTGACTAACTGACTGACTGACTGACTGCTCACCCTGGCAAGGTGATTAGCGGCCTGCCCGTCAGCTCGCTGCGAGAGACGTTCAGCTGAGGGTAGTGCAGGCGGTGAGTGAGTGACTGACTGACTGAGTGACTGACTGAGTGACTGACTGACTGACTGACTGAGTGACTGACTGAGTGAGTGACTGACTGAGTGACTAACTGACTGACTGACTGACTGAGTGACTGACTGAGTGACTGACTGCTCACCCTGGCAAGGTGATTAGCGGCCTGCCCGTCAGCTCGCTGCGAGAGACGTTCAGCTGAGGGTAGTGCAGGCGGTGAGTGACTGAGTGACTGAGTGACTGACTGAGTGACTGACTGAGTGACTGACTGACTGACTGAGTGACTAACTGACTGACTGACTGAGTGACTGACTGAGTGACTGACTGAGTGAGTGACTGACTGAGTGACTAACTGACTAACTGACTGACTGACTGACTGACTGCTCACCCTGGCAAGGTGATTAGCGGCCTGCCCGTTAGCTCGCTGCCAGAGACGTTCAGCTGAGGGTAGTGCAGGCGGTGAGTGACTGAGTGACTGACTGAGTGACTAACTGACTGACTGACTGAGTGACTGACTGACTGACTGACTGAGTGACTGAGTGACTGACTGACTGACTGCTCACCCTGGCAAGGTGATTAGCGGCCTGCCCGTCAGCTCGCTGCGAGAGACGTTCAGCTGAGGGTAGTGCAGGCGGTGAGTGACTGACTGACTGACTAACTGACTGAGTGACTGACTAACTGACTGACTGACTGAGTGACTGACTGACTGACTAACTGACTGACTGACTGACTAACTGACTGACTAACTGACTAACTGAGTGACTGACTAACTGACTAACTGAGTGACTGACTAACTGACTGACTGACTAACTGACTGACTGACTGACTAACTGACTGACTAACTGACTAACTGAGTGACTGACTAACTGACTAACTGACTGACTGACTAACTAACTGACTGAGTGACTAACTGACTGACTACTCACCCTGGCAAGGTGATTAGCGGCCTGCCCGTCAGCTCGCTGCGAGAGACGTTCAGCTGAGGGTAGTGCAGGCGGTGAGTGACTGACTGAGTGACTGACTGAGTGACTGACTGAGTGACTGACTGACTAACTGACTGACTAACTGACTGACTAACTGACTGACTGAGTGACTGACTGCTCACCCTGGCAAGGTGATTAGCGGCCTGCCCGTCAGCTCGCTGCGAGAGACGTTCAGCTGAGGGTAGTGCAGGCGGTGACTGACTGAGTGAGTGACTGAGTGACTGAGTGACTGACTGAGTGACTGACTGACTGACTGAGTGACTGACTGACTGACTGAGTGACTGACTGACTGACTGCTCACCCTGGCAAGGTGATTAGCGGCCTGCCCGTCAGCTCGCTGCGAGAGACGTTCAGCTGAGGGTAGTGCAGGCGGTGAGTGACTGAGTGACTGACTGACTGACTGACTCAGTGACTGAGTGACTCAGTGACTGAGTGACTGACTGACTGACTGACTAACTGACTGACTGACTGACTACTCACCCTGGCAAGGTGATTAGCGGCCTGCCCGTCAGCTCGCTGCGAGAGACGTTCAGCTGAGGGTAGTGCAGGCGGTGAGTGACTGAGTGACTGACTGAGTGACTAACTGACTGACTGACTGAGTGACTGACTGAGTGACTGACTGACTAACTGACTGACTGCTCACCCTGGCAAGGTGATTAGCGGCCTGCCCGTTAGCTCGCTGCGAGAGACGTTCAGCTGAGGGTAGTGCAGGCGGTGAGTGACTGAGTGACTGAGTGACTGACTGACTGACTGACTAACTAACTGACTGACTGACTAACTGACTGACTGAGTGACTGACTGACTAACTAACTGACTGACTAACTGAGTGACTGACTAACTGACTGAGTGACTGACTAACTGACTGAGTGACTGACTGACTGACTGACTGCTCACCCTGGCAAGGTGATTAGCGGCCTGCCCGTCAGCTCGCTGCGAGAGACGTTCAGCTGAGGGTAGTGCAGGCGGTGAGTGACTGACTGAGTGACTGACTGAGTGACTGACTGAGTGAGTGACTAACTGACTAACTGACTGACTAACTGAGTGACTAACTGACTGACTACTCACCCCGGCAAGGTGATTAGCGGCCTGCCCGTCAGCTCGCTGCGAGAGACGTTCAGCTGAGGGTAGTGCAGGCGGTGAGTGACTGACTGACTGACTGACTAACTGACTAACTAACTGACTGACTGACTGACTAACTGACTAACTAACTGACTGAGTGACTGACTGAGTGACTGACTAACTGACTAACTGACTGACTAACTGAGTGACTGACTGACTGACTGCTCACCCTGGCAAGGTGATTAGCGGCCTGCCCGTCAGCTCGCTGCGAGAGACGTTCAGCTGAGGGTAGTGCAGGCGGTGAGTGACTGAGTGACTGACTGAGTGACTGACTGACTGACTGAGTGACTGACTAACTGACTGACTAACTGACTGACTGACTGACTGCTCACCCTGGCAAGGTGATTAGCGGCCTGCCCGTCAGCTCGCTGCGAGAGACGTTCAGCTGAGGGTAGTGCAGGCGGTGAGTGAGTGACTGACTGACTGAGTGACTGACTGAGTGACTGACTGAGTGACTGACTGAGTGACTGACTGAGTGAGTGACTGACTGACTAACTGACTGACTGACTGACTGACTGAGTGACTGACTGAGTGACTGCTCACCCTGGCAAGGTGATTAGCGGCCTGCCCGTCAGCTCGCTGCGAGAGACGTTCAGCTGAGGGTAGTGCAGGCGGTGAGTGACTGAGTGACTGACTGACTGACTAACTGACTGAGTGACTGACTGACTGACTGAGTGAGTGACTGACTGAGTGAGTGACTGAGTGAGTGACTGAGTGACTGACTGCTCACCCTGGCAAGGTGATTAGCGGCCTGCCCGTCAGCTCGCTGCGAGAGACGTTCAGCTGAGGGTAGTGCAGGCGGTGAGTGACTGACTGACTGACTGACTGACTGAGTGACTGACTAACTGAGTGACTGAGTGACTGACTAACTGACTGACTGACTGACTGCTCACCCTGGCAAGGTGATTAGCGGCCTGCCCGTCAGCTCGCTGCGAGAGACGTTCAGCTGAGGATAGTGCAGGCGGTGAGTGACTGAGTGACTGACTGAGTGACTGACTGAGTGACTGAGTGACTGACTGACTGACTGACTGCTCACCCTGGCAAGGTGATTAGCGGCCTGCCCGTCAGCTCGCTGCGAGAGACGTTCAGCTGAGGGTAGTGCAGGCGGTGAGTGACTGAGTGACTGACTGACTGAGTGACTGACTGACTAACTGACTGACTGACTGACTGACTGACTAACTGACTGACTAACTGACTGACTGACTGACTGCTCACCCTGGCAAGGTGATTAGCGGCCTGCCCGTCAGCTCGCTGCGAGAGACGTTCAGCTGAGGGTAGTGCAGGCGGTGAGTGACTGAGTGACTGACTGAGTGACTGACTGACTGACTGAGTGACTGACTGACTAACTGACTGACTAACTGACTAACTGACTGACTAACTGACTGACTGCTCACCCTGGCAAGGTGATTAGCGGCCTGCCCGTCAGCTCGCTGCGAGAGACGTTCAGCTGAGGGTAGTGCAGGCGGTGAGTGACTGAGTGAGTGACTGACTGACTGACTGAGTGACTGACTGAGTGACTGACTAACTGACTGACTGACTGACTGAGTGACTGACTGACTGACTGCTCACCCTGGCAAGGTGATTAGCGGCCTGCCCGTCAGCTCGCTGCGAGAGACGTTCAGCTGAGGGTAGTGCAGGCGGTGAGTGACTGACTGAGTGACTGACTGAGTGAGTGACTGACTGAGTGACTGACTGACTGACTGAGTGACTGACTGACTGCTCACCCTGGCAAGGTGATTAGCGGCCTGCCCGTCAGCTCGCTGCGAGAGACGTTCAGCTGAGGGTAGTGCAGGCGGTGAGTGACTGAGTGACTGACTGACTGACTAACTGAGTGACTGACTGAGTGACTGACTGAGTGACTGAGTGACTGACTGAGTGACTGACTGACTGCTCACCCTGGCAAGGTGATTAGCGGCCTGCCCGTCAGCTCGCTGCGAGAGACGTTCAGCTGAGGGTAGTGCAGGCGGTGACGCTGGACCAGGCTGGACCTGAACGCTTTGCCCACCAGCTCAGTCACCTGCTGCACCACCGCCTCAGGACTCTTCATTACCTGTGGGGGGTAGTGGTGGGGGGTAGTGGTGGGGGGTAGTGGTGGGGGGTGGAGGTGGGGGGTGGTGGTGGGGGGTAGTGGTGGGGGGTGGAGGTGGGGGGTGGTGGTGGGGGGTCGTGGTGGGGGGTAGTGGTGGGGGGTAGTGGTGGGGGGTAGTGGTGGGGGGTAGTGGTGGGGGGGTGGAGGTGGGGGGTGGTGGTGGGGGGTAGTGGTGGGGGGTGGAGGTGGGGGGTGGTGGTGGGGGGTCGTGGTGGGGGGTAGTGGTGGGGGGTAGTGGTGGGGGGTAGTGGTGGGGGGTGGAGGTGGGGGGTGGTGGTGGGGGGTAGTGGTGGGGGGTGGAGGTGGGGGGTGGTGGTGGGGGGTAGTGGTGGGGGGTAGTGGTGGGGGGTAGCGGTGGGGGGTGGAGGTGGGGGGTAGTGGTGGGGGGTGGTGGTGGGGGGTAGTGGTGGGGGGTGGAGGTGGGGGGTAGAGGTGGGGGGTAGTGGTGGGGGGTAGAGGTGGGGGGTAGTGGTGGGGGGTGGTGGTGGGGGGTAGTGGTGGGGTGTAGTGGTGGGGGTAGTGGTGGGGGGTAGAGGTGGGGGGTAGAGGTGGGGGGTAGAGGTGGGGGGTAGAAGTGGGGGGTAGTGGTGGGGGGTAGTGGTGGGGGGTAGTGGTGGGGGGTAGTGGTGGGGGGTAGAGGTGGGGGGTAGTGGTGGGGGGTAGAGGTGGGGGGTAGTGGTGGGGGGTGGTGGTGGGGGGTAGTGGTGGGGTGTAGTGGTGGGGGTAGTAGTGGGGGGTAGTGGTGGGGGTGGAGGTGGGGGGTAGTGGTGGGGGGTGGAGGTGGGGGGTAGAGGTGGGGGGTAGAGGTGGGGGGTAGAGGTGGGGGGTAGTGGTGGGGGGTAGCGGTGGGGGGTAGCGGTGGGGGGGTAGCGGTGGGGGGTAGCGGTGGGGGGTAGCGGTGGGGGGTAGCGGTGGGGGGTAGCGGTGGGGGGTAGCGGTGGGGGGTAGTGGTGGTGGTGTAGTGGTGGTGGTGTAGTGGTGGTGGTGTAGTGGTGGTGGTGGTGTAGTGGTGGTGTAGTGGTGGTGTAGTGGTGGTGTAGTGGTGGTGTAGTGGTGGTGTAGTGGTGGTGGTGTAGTGGTGGTGGTGTAGTGGTGGTGTAGTGGTGGTGGTGTAGTGGTGGTGTAGTGGTGTTGGTGGTGTAGTGGTGGTGGTGTAGTGGTGGTGGTGGTGTAGTGGTGGTGGTGGTGTAGTGGTGGTGGTGTAGTGGTGGTGTAGTGGTGGTGTAGTAGTGGTGTAGTAGTGGTGGTGGTGGTGTAGTGGTGGTGGTGGTGTAGTGGTGGTGGTGTAGTGGTGGTGTAGTGGTGGTGGTGTAGTGGTGGTGTAGTGGTGGTGGTGTAGTGGTGGTGGTGGTGTAGTGGTGGTGGTGTAGTGGTGGTGTAGTGGTGGTGTAGTAGTGGTGTAGTAGTGGTGGTGGTGGTGTAGTGGTGGTGGTGGTGTAGTGGTGGTGGTGTAGTGGTGGTGTAGTGGTGGTGGTGTAGTGGTGGTGTAGTGGTGGTGGTGTAGTGGTGTTGTCGTGGCCACCCACCCCCTCTGTGCCACAGTGCCGGTAGCCTTCATAGGCGCTGTCGCTAACAGCAGCCCTGCTAGAGACTACCTGGGGTAGCTTTGTCTGTGTCTGTGTGTAGGTGTGTATGTAGGTGTGTGTGTGTAGGTGTGTGTGTAGGTGTGTGTAGGTGTGTGTGTGTAGGTGTGTGTGTGTGTGTGTAGGTGTGTGTAGGTGTGTGTGTGTAGGTGTGTGTGTGTGTGTGTAGGTGTGTGTGTGTAGGTGTGTGTGTAGGTGTGTGTGTAGGTGTGTGTAGGTG